ATAGATATATAGTTACATTCTCTTAACGAATAGAGTGATTTGTTCTAATGTTGTTTGTAAATAGAATATCATGTCCGCATCTTGTAGAGCAATTAACCACTAGGAAGAATGTGTGCAATGTGTTAATTATTGAAACTGTCCTACCAATTTGTTTTGAAACTCTCTCATTGCTTTTGTTTATCAATAAAATTATTGAAAAAATACTGATTAGAAGCCAAATTTAAAAAAAATACAGGAAACTACATGAGAAATAAACCTGCAGGAGAAATCTGCAGTTCATTCAGTTTTTGCATACTTATAAAAGTATGCTAAAATAAAATTTTATTTTAAGACATGGTCACAGAATTTCAATCAGTAACTTGTTCATTTACTTATACAGATAGTTGGTAGTATTTCATGATCCTAATTAATCCTGGTTTTGTTTAAGGATATTGAGAAAAATTAAATGATATAATTACATGAGTTAAGAGCCTTTACATATTTTCTCTTGAATGGATAACACACGTATATTAACATCATTATATATTTGACCTTAAGCTCTGGAGCTTATACTGGGTTTATTATCTAAAATGCTGTTCATTAAACAGAAAATGAAAATTCCACCTCACAGATGCTATTTCAACTTATATCTGAACATTTTCTTTCATTTTTAAGTTTAATTTTATTTAAGGAACAAATAGCAATGAGAGAGGTTCAAAACTGATTGGTAGACAGTTTCAATAATTAATATATTGCATATTGTTGTCTTTGTAGTGGTTATTCATAGTCTAAGATGCAGACATAATATCCTGTCCAGATGGACTCAGAGAGCGGAAGAGCAGCCAAAGCGAGGCTTTTATTCAGTCTTGCGAGGCTGGGTGTGTGCGCTACACGCTCACCTATGCTACTCAGCACAGTGAGAGCTTGTTATCTCTCAGCATGTAAGTACCTACTCCTCCCCTTTTAGCTCAGTGGCTGAGTCCCATAAGGGCAACGACCTTTCCTGCTCATCGCCTGTGTCTCTCCTGCTAAGGCAGTTTCCTGGTCCTCCTCCCAATTTGAGTTTGGATTTCTCCCTAGTACCTTCTGTTCTTTAGTTTTGGACTTTCCAAAGAGCAGGTGTGTCTGTTTAGAGGTTTTATGTGACCTTGCAGTTACTCCATTTCCACTTAGCTCTAGCTATCTTATTATGAAAATGGGTCATTCTATGCCTTTCATTTTCCTTTTACACCTACATTTATGTTTTTCTATAAAGGCTTTCTTACTAGTTTATCTCTCTGTTATGGTCCCATTTGCATAGGGACCTGGATACAGGAACTTTGTCACATCCACAGGCTATTAGGCAATTTTCCACTTAGAATTAATTACTTTGTGTTCAAAACTGGCCACTTTAAGTTTCCATTTCTTACACACTTACTGCCCATGCATATGCTTCAGTAGCAAGAGGTACAGTCATAGATCTGGCACAAAAGCGCATTCAATGAATAGTAAAATGTAAATAAGCTTTATAACTGTGATGATTTAATATTCTAGAGTGAGACTATCTACAATAAAAAAGTTAAAAGTGTATTAAAACTCAATTTGGATGAGGATGCTTTGCAAAAATTGTGAAAGTAGATGTGGCCGGGGTGATGGCTCAATAGAATAAGTGCTTCTCTGCCAAG